GTAAACAAAAACCAGGGAGTTAATATCTGCTCTCATTGGTATTATTGATTGCCTAACGAATCCTTTGTGGGATTCAACAGTTCTGCACAATACATGGGCACTAACTTACATAACTATTTGAGTAACTAGTATGGTAAATTGATACTTTGACCAGGAAGTTTTACCAAGTGACAGCGTTATATTTCTAACGAAACATTTCCCTGAATTAAAAACAGGTTTGGGCCGGGCATGGTGGCTCACACCTGTAATCCCTGCACTTTGGGGGGCTGAGGCGGGTGGATGACCTGAGGTCAGGAGTTCGAGACCAGCCTGGCCAACATGGTGAAACCCTGTCTGTACTAAAAACATAAAAAATTAGCCGGGTGTGGTGGGTGCCTATAATCCCAGCTACTCAGGAGTCTGAGGCAGGAAAATTACTTGAACCTGAAATGCAGAGGTTGCAGTGAGCTGAGATCATGCCACTGCACTCCAACCTGGGCAACAAGAGTGAAACTCCATCTCAAATAATAATAATAATAATAATAATAATAAATAAAAAATAAAATAAATTAAAAAAGAACAAACATTAAGGCAGCCCACAGAAAAGAAAAACAACATGTAAGGCTTGTAGCCCTTTTGTCTTTTTGATCATAGACAGCAGGAGCTGTTGCTGAGGCAGAGGTAAGGGTTAACATTTAAAATGGACTGGTTGCCTCCTGATTTCTTGCACATAAAGCCATGAGAAGTTCAGGGAGAGACTTCTTCCCCTAGTAATGAAGCTCTCTGTTGCTAATGGCCCATGCAGACTCCCTTGGCTCCTCCAAATTAGAAATACTTTTGTGCTCCTTTGCTTCATTAACAGTAAAGAGAGGGAGATTGGTGGCTATTTAGGGCATGGGGAAATTGGTGGCTATTTAGGGCAAGTGAAAATTGTAGTAATTATGGTTGGTAAGTTCTCTTGATGGTGTTTTTTTGACTCTTGATGTTCCTTTGGTGCTTTACAGAAGACCCCTCCATGGTCAATTCTGGCATTTGGCCTAGGAGGGCAGGAGATGATCTGACGGAATTTTTGGCCCCTGGTGATGGTCGGTACAAGGCATCTTGCCTGATGGGAGACAGGTCTTTTGCTTTTTGAGTTGCTTTTCAGAGTGGAAAGCATATCTGAATGCTTACCATATGACCCTCTCTACTACCAGCTGTGATAAAAGTGTAGTATATATGATAACCTCCTTCTCTACCTGTATTGTACTGCAGAAAGCTGGTGCTGCACATGAAAGCTGTGAAATTGCATCCCTAATAAACCTTGGTTGAGATGGATGAGGGGAGCTTGATAGGCTCAAGGCTCTGAGAGAATGAGCAGTGCATGAAGGAGAAATAAGAAAGGGTAATTTAGGACCACAGCGTGCTATGGTGTGTCTCTGGTTGGCCAAGGAGTTTGCATCAGATTATTGGATTCTGACTAGAAGGAAAAGAACATCAAAAGGAAGGTGCAGTGTTTCCAAGGACGAATAGAAGCAAATTATTGCTAGCATTTAACAGTTTGACACTATTTGAAGAGGGATCACATTTGTATGGGCCTTCAGAAACTGGGGAGATGATCTGAAAAATGCTTCCTTCAATAATTGAAATTGTAATCTATAGAAACTGAGTCAGGGGAAATAACATCCTAAAAATTGGTCTATAAACATGGTGTTAATTGAAATTTGAGGAGTAATTAAGTCCAGTTAAGGTGACCAGGGAAATTCTTGGGACCACATTGCTGGAATTAAAAAATATTTCTGGAAATATCTACCCAATTGATTGTATTATCACATATTGAGGTAATTTTTTAAAATCATCAATGTGGTATGCATGAGAAGATAGGTAAGGCAGGAGGAATTAAATGTGAACAGATGGATGCTTTTGAATAGAGATCTTCTTCTGGTGTATAGTTAAAACTATTTTTAAAAAGTAGTTTAATTGACAGCACTTGACTAGGATTGAAGAAATATGAGTTTTCAAGGAAATCATAGCATTTTCCCAGACCTGAGACCATTATTAGTACACATTGCTTGCATGTGCCCAGGAGAGGTTTTCTGACCACCGACTGTGTTTGTCTTGGCAAATATCCTACTGATATGGGGTTGACTGTATCAAGCTCTGATAACTTAGGATCCTCCAACCGCTGATTTCTTTCTTTTTATTATTATACTTTAAGTTCTAGGGTGCATGTGCACAATGTGCAGGTTTGTTACATATGTATACATGTGCCATCCAACTGCTGATTTCTTTTGAAAATCAGTTTGCAGGAAATCTCTCGACCCTCATGTGGTTTTCTAGGTAGACTTCCAAGTTGGGGAGAAATGTTGCTGCATAACCAGCTGGAGTGTTCTGCTGCATATAACACTCATTTATTCGTTCAGAAAATATTTGTTAAACTCCCACTATATGAAAGGCACTTTTATTTCTTACTGTAAATCATTAACTGAAAATTCCGATTTATCAATTAGTCTCTCTTGGATTTAGGTCTTGTGATTTATTTTTCCAAGCCCATATATTTCAGTAAAAACTGCAAGGATATACTTTTGGAACCTGAAACACTTATAATCATTCTCTGTACTTGAGGAAATTTAGATATTTCTAGTGTGTTTTATTTATTGACCACAGTACCTACTATAGCCAATGTTGATATTTCTTAGTTCAAACTTACCTCTTCTTATCATATTTGTTTTACACTTATGTCCCCAAAGCTTATTTTTATTTGCTAAATATAGTTGGGCCAAACTGTTACTAGACAATATCATGGGATTATGGGACTCATGGTTTCCATCAGGGGAAGAGAGAGCCATGATGACTGAAGGCAAATGACTGGAAATTCTAAGAAGGGAAATTTAACATTCTAAAACTTTTGTAAAGATTACAATTTGAAACTAAATTCCATATATGGAATGTTTTCTATTTGAAGATGTGAACACCCCATAACTGAAAGAAGGGGAGGGATGAAATGTGGTGGGAATTCCTGCACTGGATTGGAAATTAGAACAGATGACCTTTGTGTTCATTCTGATTCTAAGAATATAGGTTGAGAATTGTCCATTAGTTCCAATTTAAATCCTGAAGGGCTGGCGTGGGGAAGGGTGGACAACAAACCTAAGTATCTAAAACCCAAAGGAAGGAAGACAGTTTCCACTCCTCCAAGATTTCTAAAGGTTCAGTTAATGCTGCATAGAGAAAAAGAGTAGTTCTTTCATTCCCAAATGCCCTGAGGATTTTTAATCCCTTTCATTTCATTAATTAATGGATGAAACAAGTACATTTAATCTTGCAAGAAATATGTGTCAAGTGCTACATTGCCAGGGTCAATGATCTGTACCATGGAAGGGTTTTTGGTACATTTTTAAATGACCGAATATCCTGAATAAACCTCTAGGCATTCAAGTAAGTAGTGCAGAATGGTAAATCTGGCATATTTGAGGTTCTTAAGTGAGATCTAAGTAGATGTTATTGACCTTGGTGAGTGATTTATGTAGATTATGTTTCATAGTACCTACATGAGATCTGTTCTATTGTTGCCTCCATTTGAAAAAGAAATGAATCTAAAGGTTAAATAGGTTCTGAAATTTGCCCAGGTTTACACACCTACTGAGTGCCAATCTAGATTTCAGTTGATACCCATTTGGTTCCAGTGCCCAAGTGTGCAACACTAAAAAAGTTCCTTTTTGTAATATTCCATGGACTTATAAATTGGCCTTAGATGTACTCATGCCCCATCTCACTGTGAAAACCCAATGTCCTCTTTTGACTCATTTCCCTTACTTTGAGAATTTAATTATCTGCCTGCGGCAAAATGTCACAGTTAAAGATTCTCATGAAAACTAAACCAAAGGAGGAAGAATAGTCATAATGTGTATTGATTTTTTTTTTTTTGGCTTTTGCTTTATTTCTTTAGGTCCACTTTGTCTCTCTTTTAGGGGTCTAATCATTGGCTAAATCTACTTATGTTTTAATGAAGTCTTAATAGTCATTTTCTGGGATGGCTGTATAGAATAAGTTGGGTAACTCGATTCACAAATTTCTAGTTCTACTTTGTGATACTCACATATTGCTTTTGCTCTACCTTGCCTCAGTTTCCTCATTTGGTAAAATGCAGTTCTTCTAGAACACTTTATATACATTAGAAAATGTCACTGGCTGCTTTTGGAAGATCTCATCTATGCATTCTTCATTCATATAAAAAACATGATTTGGGTGCCATTGTGTGCTGGGCCCTGTGCCAGGGCAGAGGATACCAATAAGAAAAGGGAAAACATCTCTAATTTATAGGTCTTATAATCTATGTTTTTAAAAAGGCAAGAACACATGGATACTGTAATAGCAGTGAGCACTAGGCATTACACAAGGCTTCAGGAGAGGAGCAGGTTGCCTCATCACTCTAGAGAAGGATGCTGAAGCGACTCCTGCTGGGCATTTTGAGCAGGACTTCTGAGAGTCTCAGCACTTAGGCGTGTCAGGTCCCAGGCCGCTGTCAATTGTTCCTCATGTGAATATCCAGTTACCAATAATAATGTTTTTTGCTGTTGATAAATCTGGTCCAAGGCAAAATTCTGGCCATAGACATTTCTTTGTTAAAATTGTAGTATATAGTCCTGGCTCATACAAAATCATTAATATGACATTTATTAGTGGCAGAGTTGCAGTGAGCAAAGACCTTGCCATTGCACTCCAGCATGCACAAGAGCGAAACTCTGTCTCAAGAAAAAAACAAAGAACAAAAAACAAAAGAACAAAAAACCTGAGAGTCACCACCTCCAGTTCACCAGGCCATTGCAATTTGCAAATGATCCAATGGCAACTTCACAATGGGTTGCTTTCACTCACACAGTGACTGCTAACACCTCCCTAGACATACAACTAAAGAGGGCCTAAGACATAGATGGAGAGAATAGAAAGATGATTGCAATTGATGAAAGAGGAATGTATTGGATTCAGAATGAGCGAATAATCTTGCAACCCATCTTGTTTTCCTTTTAAAATCACTCTAGAGCTAATGCTCCTGAAGTTTCTTATGATTTAACCATGACTGACAGCAGAAATAAAACAACCACTGTCAATTATGTACGTGATACACTGTCTAACCCTCATGGCTGGATGGCTCTGCTCTTGGACCAAGAGACCTACTCATTGCGATCTGAGAACCTTTGGATCAACAGATCTCTGCAGGTAACCCAAGGAATCCATTAGTTGGTATGCCCCATTCTCACTTGTTCTTATCTTTCTTTGTTTGAGATAATGGGTTGAAAGAGGAGCAGATTATCTCGTTATTGAAAGTCTTGGCATATTCTGATGCAGATAAAGAAAACTTCAATAGTATTTTGGCCAGATGAAAATAAGCTAAATATGAGATTTGGTTGCTTTTTAAACTTGAAAATTTTAGAATCTATTTATGTGTTATTGTGAATGCAGAATGAAAATTTAAATTTATTAATACAATAAGAAACAACCTCTACACATCTTATAGAATTGCATTTCTTTAAAAATTATTGGTTAATAGCCAATTTACCCTAGAGAGAGATGTTTGTAGCCAGAGAAAATGCCTTACCAAAGCATTTATACATTGCATACTGCCACCTTGTGGTCAAAGATTAACTTTCAAATAGAAGTCTGTATGAGTCCGCAGGTGGGATTGGGTTAAGGGAGACAAATTTAACAGCAGTGAAGCTAGAAATGACCATGTGGCAAGATGGCCTACTAGAAGCAGAGACGTTCGGAGGCTCCCATCGAAAAGACAAAACAAAATCATAATAATCATGGGAAGCCTTCATTGGCAACCAAGGTATCCAGGTTCTCTTATCAAAATTGACTAGAAGGCTGGTGTGGCCCACAGAGAAAAGGGAAGAGCAGTGTGGTGCGGTGGCCCACCTGAGAGCCACACGGGAAAAGGAACTCTGTGTCTTCCAGCCAAGGGAGGCAGTGAGTGAGCTGCTACCCAGCCGGGGAAAGTGCTTTTTCCATGGAATTGTGCAACCCACGGATCGGAAGATCTCACTCGCGAACCCACACCACCACCAGGGCCTAGCATCCTAAGCCTGGAACATGCAGATTCTTACAGCCTCTCAGCTGGAATCTGCTTAAGCCTACCCAACTCCCAGGGGGAGGGGCGACCAGCATTGGCTGCAGCTGCCTGCTGTCTAAGCATCTGAACTCCCAGCTTGGAGCTCAGGAGAGGCAGCAGCCAGCACTGGGACTTGCAACTGCCTAACACGCTAAGTTCCGTGGGTGGGGGAAAGGCAGCATCCACTTCTATACCTCTAGGCTGCGCTTTTTCCCCCCTTGGAGCCAGGGAGGCTGGATGACTTTTGTCCCAAGACTTGTCCCGACAGCCCAATATACCGGCTGTGGCTGCCTGCAGCCAGAGTCCTCTTCGGGCCTAACTCTGACCCATCCTTCTTCAGTGGGCAGGGCTTCCCCGCAGGATCTCTGATAACTCCAGCCAGAGGCTCAGGGAGAGAATTCATATCTCCCTGGGCCTGAGTCCCGGGGGGAGGGGGTAGCTGCAGTCTCTGTGGACCAGCAGACTTGGCCTGTCCTCCTGGTATTTCTGAGGAATCCCGGCAGCCCAGACGGGTGGGTTTCCCCGCAGTGAAACACACTCTCTCCACCAAGGGACAAAGTGCTTTGTTGGAACGGGTCCTACTCCTCGTGCCACCAAACCGGGTGAGAGCCTCCAACAGAGGTTGTCAGACACCCTATACAGGAGCGATCCTACTGGCATCCAGTTGGTGCCCCTTGAGGTCAGAGGTCCCAGAAGAAGAAGCAGGCACCCATCTTTGCTGCTCTCCAGCCTCCTTGAGTGACATCTCCAGGCACGGGAGCAAATCAGATGAATAGGGCCTGAAGTGAACCCCCAGCAAACTGCAGCAGCCCTACAGAAGAGGGACCTGAAAGAAAAACAAAGAAGCAGAAAGTGACAACAGCAGCATCAACAACAACAACCAAAAGGCCCCCACAAAAACCCTATCCATGGGTCAACAACCTCACAGAGCAAGACTAGACAAGCTCAGAAAGATGAAAAAGAATCAATCAGAAAATGCTGAAAACCAAAAAGGCCAGAGTGCCTCTTCTCCTCCAAATGATTACAGCGTCTCTCCATCAAGGGCACAGAACTGGATAGAGGATCAAATGGATGAATTGATGAATTGACAGAAGTAGGCTTCAAAAGATGGGTAATAAAAAACTATAATGCGCTAAAGGAGCATGCTCTAACCCAATGCAAAGAAGCTAAGAACCTGGAATTGCTAACTAGAATATCCAGTTTAGAGAGGAATATAAATGACCTGATGGAGCCAAGAAACACAGCACGAGAATGTTGTGAAGCATACACAAGTATCAACAGCCAAAAAGACTAAGTGAAAGAAAGGATATCAGAGTTTGAAGACCACCTCACTGATATAAGACATGCAGATAAGAAAAAAGAATGTAAAGGAATGAACAA